TGAAGAACAGATCGTGGCATTGTTCCGCAGCGGCGGAACAACAGCGCTTTCGTGCTCAAACTCGTCTCATCGAGCGAATCGCACGCCGATGATATTAACCCTCCCTCTTTGCCTTTTGCAGCTAATGAAATTACCGCGAAGCAATTTTACCGCGGCGTAATTCAATCTCGAGGAAACAGTGTCGTGGTTTTGCTGTCGTATATCGACTTTTAATCGAGACGCACACGCGTGCCTCGTACAAATTGCACGCATATAGGAGGCCCGCGATGAGCGACGGAAATGTGTTCAATCTACCTATCGCCAAGGTCGATCGCGAAATTGCGAGGCAATTTTCCCGTTATATCTTCATCTCGAAAGACTAATTTTCGTTAACGTTCCTTAATGCACGGGGAACACACTAATGGGGAAATCTTTCGCCGCGCGTAGCGATGAGCGGTATAAAAGAACACACACACGGCTCTCTCTCTCTCTCTCTCTCTCTCTCTCTCTCTCTCTCTCTCTCTCTCTCTCTCTCTCTCTCTCTCTCTCTCTCTCTCTCTCTCTATGTTTTCTCGAGTAAATCTAACGCGTTCCTTGAAAGTGGAAGGGTCATATTTCCATAATTGTTCCCAGGTTCCCTCCTCTCGAGCAAACGTAAACGGAAAGAAACGCTGGCGGGCAAAGCGACTAAAGGTATTGCCGCGGTACTTTCACCATCTGGCGCGGGCAAGTTTGGAACGTTGGATTAACGCTGCCGTACCACGCCGGTAATCTTCGTCTCCGGCAGCTGAGTCGAAAATAATCACACTCTCATCTATTAACCTCCGACTCGTATGAACTCGGGGGGTCAACGTTTCGTCTCTCCCAGGGACGCCGACGACTCCAACCGCGCGCGGTTTAACAAACCTTTCTCGTCCGCTCGTTCTTCTGCTGCTTCATCGAGCAATAATTTACAAAAACACACGCGGTGCGTTTGATAAGCCTCAGGCAACCTTCGACATTCTTTCCACCTTGCAACACGGATATTAGGAGAGTGATTTAGTTTTCAGGAGGTTTTGCAAGAGGTGGCAATAATGTCAGTTTTGTCGGAGACAGTCACAGTTATTATTTCTTGATGCTTCAATATTAATCCGCGATATTTAGTCATTTATTAACAACAGACGCAGTAAAAGTCGTGTTGATACCATCTTAAAAATGGAGCTTCCTAAAGCGTATTTTCGACACGCGAAGTGACGGAGAATTAGCGTACTTGTTTGCAAAATGCTAAAGGACTTTTTTGTTCAGAATGACCTAACCTACGATTATACGACGGCTATTGTGGCCAGCGACAGGTTCAAGGTTCGGGGTTCAAAGTTCAATATACCCATATCTACTGCTACACATAACAACTGTTATGTAATTGTAGATTGGGTTATTCTAAACAAAAAAGTCCTTTACCATTTTACAAACAAGTACGCAAGTTTTCAAGTTATCAATTAATTCTTTGAGCCACGAATTTTTCCTTTTAACCGATTTCTGTAAAACTTTGTTATCCAGGGGTTTTCTAGGTCGCTGATTACGAATCCATTGTCAGATTTTCGAAATTCAAAATGGCGTAGAAATTTGGGTTTTTTTAAATTCTCGCTTCGCTGCATTGAATCAGCCATCGTGAATTTTGAAAATCTGATGATGGATTCATAATTAGCGACCCAAAAAATCCTCAATACTAATTTTTCTAGAAATTAAAGCTTTTTTTAAGTTTTCCGTCCGAAATATTGGATTGGTCATCTTGAACTTTGAAAATCTGATGAGGGATTCGCAATCAACGACCCAAGAAAACCCTAGATACCTAGTTTCATGGAAATTGGTTGAATTTTTAATTTTATGTCCGCCATATTGGATCCGCCATTTTAAATTTCGAAAATCTGACAACGGATTCGTAATCAGCCCCAAAACAATCCCTGCGTATCAACTCCCAAATAAAAATAGTCAATTCTTCGCCTTGCCATACATTTATTCTTAAAAACATTTTATTGTGTTTACTTATTTACTATTAGCAATAATAAATTTAAAGAATTTATAACTAATCACAATTATTCTACACTAGGTAGGGTCTTAAGAAGCTAAGAAATATAATTGCTAAGAAATCGATCATTAAAACTGTTCATAAAATATAAAAAAACTGACGGAATATAGGTGGGTCTCTGGGTATCCGCCTGCGCGGATACCCAGAGAAAAGGTTAAAAAGATCTTCTAGATGTGGTCATATTCAATCATTAATAACTATCTCCATTTTTGCAAAATGGTACATGACTTTTCTTCCAAGTTTGATCTGATTAATCTTCACAATTTTTCGTTTCCGGAAGATTCCGGACACCCTGTACAAAAAAGACCGTCCGCGGGTGAACGAAATGGCGGCCGTGGTTCGCGCGAATCAGCGTCCTCGGGCACGTCCAACGCGCACCCTCCCTCTCTCAGGGAGAAATGAGGGAGGGACGCGTTAAAATAGGACAATAAATGGCGCTCGCGTATGTCATCGCGGGTCTGGATGTTTAGTGCGCTACGTCGCGTGTTCTCCGCGACACCGCCGCGGCGCTTAAATTACTCGATAATAGCCGCGGCTTAATCCACCACTCGTTCCAGTTACGGCGATTTGTTGCTCGGCCGCGACAGTTACGGATGTCCCCGCCCTTAAATTCGACTTTTTACGACCGCAATTAAACAACGCGGCTAGAATTCATTCGGCCGGCCGTTAAATCACAGTCCTATCGCGTCCCAGCGCGTTAGATCCCCGGCGCGAAGTTAGCCGGTCTCGCGTAATTTTGCGGCCCGTATAATAATATTAATGGAGATGTTAATTTCACTCTCAGAGAGAAAGAAAGAGAGAGAGAGAGAGAGAGAGAGAGAGAGAGAGAGAGAGAGACGCGCGTGGACTCGGGAACGCGGCCGATGAATGTGCGTGACAGTCGTCGTCGGCCGTCTCGGCGCGCACAACGGAAGACGCAACGCCCGAGTTATATTCCCTCTCCCTCCCCCCTCCCTCTTCTCCCCCTCTCGTAATAAGGCCCTGATACATTGGTCGAAGCTATTAGCTGAATCCATTTCTCGCGAATGCCGCGCGTGTTAGCGCTTCATTTCTCGCGCTTTCGGTATCTCCTTACACGGCGCGTTCTCGAGGTTGCCGCGGCGGAGTTTCCCCCCGGGAGCGCGAAATAGCGCGTGAAGAACAAATCGCGCGTACTGTCGCGAAGCGCCTAATAGCTTATCTCGCTTCGGCGAGATAATCCATCGGAGCGCTCAATTTGTCCGCCGCGCGGCGCTCGCCGGGAGAGATTGATCTCCGCTAATTTCGTATTAATTCGCACGCGTACGGATTGTTAGCGCGCGCGAGTCGTTGTGATTCTAATGATTAATGGCTGCTGATGGGATCCCATCGAGAGCGGCGTCGAATAACCGGCGAAACTTCTTTCTCGCCGCCTCTCTCTCTCTCTCTCTCTCTCTATCTCTCTCTTGTTCCTCTCCTGTGCGCCGCTTGAAAATATTCATTTCCACCTCGGCCGGTCGGGGCTTAATCGCCGTTAAGGAAAGTGATTTATTATGAGAGATTGGCCAGGTAGCAGCTGCGTTTACGGGAAATTACGGTACCGTGAGTCGCGTTACGCAATCGTGAGATGCATAATGTCGGAGCAGTCTCGCACGCGCACAATAATAATGCGCATCCAGATGAGAGAGAATCTGAATCGTCGCAGCGGTGGGAGGGACTCAGGGAGAGGGTGAGGTACATGACAGAGAGGTCCGCTTCTGCTTTGCTCCGGGAAACCCGAGCGTAAGTATCGCGCTGCTTATGTTCCAGCCGTGCTTCTCGTTATATCACGTTTTACGGCGCGTTCAGCGCCGCTATCGACTTTCATTCGAGCCTGATTGATCGAATCCGCGAATGGATTCTGGGGACCGAGACAAAACTTGCACTTGGAACTGTGGTAAGTATATAGAAAAAGGTACACCTCACTGATTTTTTTCATTTTGAAATATGTTATAAAGGATGAAATTCTGAGTGACTTTTCCTAATACAATTATATGGGGGTCGCTTATAGTTTCTGAGATATTTGACTTTAAAGTTTTATAATTGTACGTTGAAGTATATTTGAAGCAGACAAGCAGTTTTCATTCACCTTGAATATAAGAAACGTACATATAAGCGTGAGAGCGGCTCCGCCCCTCCCTCGCACCCAAACAAATCCTGACCTAACCTAACTTATTGCATCTTTATATATTTTTGGACACTGTTGAAAAAAGTTCTCTTAAGATCTATCACCTGGCTCAACTTAACTTATCATAATATCTGCATATTAGGTGTTGTGGCTTTTAAGGAGATCTTGTCAACATCGCTCAATAATATATAAAGATGCAATAAGTTAGGTTAGGTTAGAATTTTTTTGGGGAGGAGCGGAGCCCCGCTCACGCTTATATGTGCTGTTTCCTATATTTCTATGTATACTATGTATTCTATGGATTAACTGTTTGGATTGTATTGTAAATAACGTCAGCTTATGATATCTGGAATTTAATTCCAGGATAATCAAAATTCCAAAACTTTAAAATCAAATATCTTGGAAACTATAAGCGACCTCCATATATTTATATCAGGAAGTCACTCAGAATTTCATCCTTTATAACATATTTCAAAATGAAAAAAATCGGTGAGATGTACCCTTTTCTATATATTTACCGGAACTGCAATCGCACAATGAGGCGATAGTAAGTGTGAAATAATAAGAAGATGTAGTCGAGTAATGACATTAATCAGTTCGCCAGTAATGACTCATGTATAAGCAACATGAATAGCTCCGCTAGTTTTCAACGGATTTGCATGAAACTTGGTACACCCATGTTTTTTGAAAAATGCGTAATGGCGGAATAAAATTTACACTTCCAATATGGCGGCGTTGAAATAGTCAATCTTGTTAGTTTTTGAAGAATATTTATTAAGATATCTAGATATAAGATGTATTTAATTTTGTATGAAATCTTTATAGAGGATTTTTTCGATCGCTGGTGGCGAACCCGGAGTCGAAATTTCAAAATGCAAAATGGCAGATTCAATATGGCGGCTCCAAATGACTAATTTTGTTATGCTATTATGGAGGAGAATGTTGGATGTATGTTTATGTTTTCTAAGTAGCCGATGATGAATTCAGTCGAAATTGCACAATCGAAAATGGCGGCTTCCAATGACTAACTTTGATAATCCATTATGGAGAAGATCACATTCGATCTGTTCATGTTCTTCAAGTTACTGATGATAAATCCAGTCGAAATTGCAAAACCGAAAATGACGACTTCCAGTTACTAATTTTTTTATTTTATTATGAAGGAGATTATATTCGATAATTTCATGTTTTTCAGATTTGGTGATGATGAATCCGATCGAAATTGCAAAACCGAAAATGGCGGATTCAATATGGCGGTTTCCAGTGAATAATTTTGTCATTCCATTATGGAGAAGATCATATTCGACATGTTCATGTTCTTCAGGTTGTTGATAATAAATCCAATCGAAATTGCAAAATCTAAAATGGCGGATGCAATAGGATCTCACGCAGTGGCTTTCAGTGACTAACGGTATTCCAATATGGATAATCTTATCTCCATTATTAGATGAATTACGTAGAAGGAAACTATTTCTGTGCCGAATGGCGTTTCTGGTGAAAAGCTTGAATTTATGACAGTCGGACCTGCAACCAAAAAACATATCGAGCTTGATATCCGCCATATTGGATCCATCATTTAATTACGAGTGCGGATTCGTTATCAGCGACCCAAAGAAACCCTTATAGGTGAGCTTCCGTGTAAATTACGAAATTATTCGCTCTCACGGGTTTTGCCGCAAAACTTTGATTTTAACGAATCACCAGCGAACCGGTTAACTATTTTTTTTTTTACAGTGTAATATTTCCTACGTGCAGTGTACCGTTTTCAAGTAAGGCGGTTGGGCGCGTTAAACGCTCGAGTTGGCAATACACACGGAGCGAAATAAAATGCGTATCGCAGAACATTTTTAAAATTCACACTTGAACAGATTTAAATCGCTGCGTAGCGTGATAATAACCGTAGATGTGTATTGCAATTATTCATCAGAACCAGAAGAAGTGGTGCGTTAAATGTTCGCGAGTCTGTACACACGGAATGACAATAAAATGCATATCGAGAAGTACCTTTGAAATTTAGCTTCGCAATGTCCAAATCCAAAATCAACTTATTTATTCACCTTCAAGCTTCTCCTAGTCTTCGACATAATGCCGATACCGCCGATTCGTCAGGGAAATAATATAGCGAGGCGAAGCGGCTTTACGCTCCTGCGATCCTGTGAATCGAACCGTAAATATCTAATATTTCGTTACACACGTACGATCCCCCCGCGGAGAGTTTCGTACTTGGTGTGTCTTGTTTTTGCGCCTCGCTCATTATTCATCTCGACTGGCCGCTCGTGTAACTTCGATTCGCCGTCTTATGTAATAAAGCGTACGCGCGCGCGCGCGCGCGAAAGTTGTTACGATTCGCCAAGGAGGAAAATGAAAAATCCCGGCCGCGCTGGCGCGATACTCACGCTGCCGGGACTTCCTTCATTTCGTCAGCGCGAGTTCCGCGGGCGAGGCGAGATCGTTCGCGGAGGACGTTTGGGGACGCGGATGATAGAATTCGACGCGGATTCCAGTGGCGGACGAAAATAGAGGGGCCGCGCATCGCATCGAGAATACCATCGGTCCGCATGCCGCGCGGCCGCGCGGCCGCGCCGCCGCGCCGCGCCGCGCCGCGCCGCGACGCGCTGGACGCCGCGGACGCGGACGCGGACAATGTGACTGACGCGCGAGGAGGTGACAGCTAGCGCGCCGGTGAAAGGCACTTGCGTAACGCAGATCCAGAAATGATACACTGCAATGACGGCGCGAATTGAATTTCATAGGGGCGAATTTCATAGCGTGACTAGAATTTCTAACGACCTCGCGAGAAATATCGCGTCGGGATGAATTGGCGAATTGATTGGCCGCTCGCCCGTCGCCCGTCGCCCGTCGCCGCTCCCCTCCCGCCCGCGGGGATGATCGTTTGTTGTTATTTAGCCGTCCGGCCGACGGCGCGGATCTACTAGAGCTGTTTCGCGTTTCGTGTCTCAGCTCATTTTCGGCTCATTTCGCCGACGGATGTCGCTCGCATTGTGCGCGTCGACACATTGTGTGTATGCGTGAAATATTATATTAGGAGGTTGAATTAATTCTGGTCTTGTTTCGTCAATTTTTATTCAATTCTAAATTTTTCTAAATTCTAAATTTTATTCAATCCTAAACTTTATTCAATCCTAAACTTTATTCAAACCTAAACTTTATTCAATCCTAAACTTTGTTCAATTCTAAATTTTAATCAACTTTAAATTTTAATCAATTTTAAAATTTCAATTTCAATTTCAATTCAAACAAGTAATTGGGATAAACGAACGATTCGTGTCAATTTCCCTTTTTCTTTCATACAGAAGTGAAAGAAGAGTAAATCAGTATCGAAAAATATTATCCATATCAATATCGAAGATTCAATATCGATCAATATCGTAATCAATGTCGAAAAATTGTCAAAGTGCAATGATAATTTGTTTACATTTATCAGTTACTTACCCCTCTACTTTACTCGACATATTAATTCGAATAAACGAACGATTCGTATCAATTTTCTTTCTCTTATGAAGAAATAAGATAGCAAATCAGTAACAAAAATCGAAGATCGATCAATATCCAATATACTCATAAAATTAATGCAGATAAACGAACGATTCGTATCAAATTTTTCTTCTCTTATAGAGAAATGAAAGAGTAAATCAGTATCGAAATCGAAGACCGATCAATATATAACTTATTCATCAAATTAACACGGATAAATAAACGATTCGTATCAATTTTTTCTTTTCTTATAAAAGAAATGAAAGAGTAAATCAGTACCAAAAATCGAATATCGATTAATAAATCAGTCTCAGAAAATTGTCCACGTGCAATGACAATTTGTTCTTATTTTTCAGGTACATACCCCCCTAATCTTATTCAACAAATTATCTCAGATAAACGAACGATTCGTATCAATTTTTCTTGTCTTATAAAAAAATGAGAAAATAAATCAGTACCGAAAATCGAAGACCGATCAATATTTAATTTATTCATCGAATTAACGCGGATAAATGAACGATTCGTATGAATTTTTTTTTCTTATCGAGAAATGAAAGAGTAAATCAGTACAGAAAATCGAATATCGATTTATACCATAAATCAGTGTTAAAAAATTGTCCAAGTGCAATGACAATTTGTTCTTATTATTCAGGTACTTACCCCTCTAATCTTATTCAACAAATTAACTCGGATAAACGAACGATTCGTATCAAATTTTTTTTGTCTTACAAAGAAATGAGAGAATAAATCAGTACCGAAAATTGAAGACCGATCAATATTTAATTTATTCATCAAATTAACGCGCATAAATAAACGAGTCGTATCAATTTCTTTTCTTGTAGAGAAATGAGAAAATAAATTAGTACCGAAAACTGAAGACTGATCAATACCATAAATCAGTGTCAGAAAACTGTCCAAGTGCAATGACAAGTTGTTTCCATCTTGCAGGTACTTACCCCATTAATTTACTCAACAAATTAAATCGGATAAAAGAACGATTGGTATCAATTTTTTTTGTCTTATAAAAAAATAAGAAAATAAATCAGTACCTAAAACCGAACACTGATCATTACTATAAATCAATGTCAAGAAAACTGTCTAAGTGCAATGACAAGTTGTTTTCATCTTGTAGGTACTTACCCCACTAATTTACTCAACAAATTAATTCGGATAAAAGAACGATTTGTATCAATTTTTCTTCTCTTATAAAGAAATTAGAGAATCAGTCAGTACCGAAAATTGAAGACTGATCAATATTTAATTTATTCATCAAATTAACGCGAATAAATGAACAATTCGTATGCATTTTTTTCTTATAGAGAAATGAAAGAGTAAAAACCAGTACCGAAAATCGAATATCGATTAATACCATAAATCAGTGTCAAAAAATTGTCCAAGTGCAATGACAATTCGTTTTCATTTTTCAGGTACTTACGCCTCTAATCTTATTCAACAAAGTAACTCGGATAAACGAACGATTCGTATCAATTTTTCTTGTCTTATAAAAAAATGAGAAAATAAATCAGTACCGAAAATCGAAGACCGATCAATATTTAATTTATTCATCAAATTAACGCGGATAAATGAACGATTCGTATGAATTTCTTTTTCTTATCGAGAAATGAAAGAGTAAATCAGTACCGAAAATCGAATATCGATTTATACCATAAATCAGTGTCAAAAAATTGTCCAAGTGCAATGACAATTTGTTCTTATTATTCAGGTACTTACCCCTCTAATCTTATTTGACAAATTATCTCAGATAAACGACAGATTCGTATCAATTTTTCTTGTCTTATAAAAAAATGAGAAAATAAATCAGTACCGAAAATCGAAGACCGATCAATATTTAATTTATTCATCAAATTAACGCGGATAAATGAACGATTCGTATGAATTTTTTTTTTCTTATCGAGAAATGAAAGAGTAAATCAGTACCGAAAATCGAATATCGATTAATACCATAAATCAGTGTTAAAAAATTGTCCAAGTGCAATGACAATTTGTTCCTATTATTCAGGTACTTACCCCTCTAATCTTATTCAACAAATTAACTCGGATAAACGAACGGTTCGTATCCAATTTTTTTGTTTTACAAAGAAATGAGAGAATAAATCAGTACCGAAAATTGAAGACCGATCAATATTTAATTTATTCATCAAATTAACGCGGATAAACAAACGAGTCGTATCAATTTCTTTTCTTGTAGAGAAAAGAGAAAATAAATTAGTACCGAAAACTGAAGACTGATCAATACCATAAATCAGTGTCAGAAGACTGTCCAAGTGCAATGACAAGTTGTTCTTATTATTCAGGTACTACCTCTCTAATCTTATTCAACAAATTATCTCAGATAAACGACAGATTCGTATCAATTTTTCTTGTCTTATAAAAAAATGAGAAAATAAATCAGTACCGAAAAGTGAAGACCGATCAATATTTAATTCATTCATCAAATTAACGCGGATAAATAAACGAGTCGTATCAATTTCTTTTCTTGTAGAGAAATGAGAAAATAAATTAGTACCGAAAACTGAAGACTGATCAATACCATAAATCAGTGTAAGAAAACTGTCCAAGTGCAATGACAAGTTGTTTTCATCTTGCAGGTACTTACCCCATTAATTTACTCAACAAATTAAATCGGATAAAAGAACGATTGGTATCAATTTTTTTTGTCTTATAAAAAAATAAGAAAATAAATCAGTACCTAAAACCGAACACTGATCAATACTATAAATCAATGTCAAGAAAACTGTCTAAGTGCAATGACAAGTTGTTTTCATCTTGTAGGTACTTACCCCACTAATTTACTCAACAAATTAATTCGGATAAAAGAACGATTTGTATCAATTTTTCTTCTCTTATAAAGAAATTAGAGAATCAGTCAGTACCGAAAATTGAAGACTGATCAATATTTAATTTATTCATCAAATTAACGCGGATAAATGAACAATTCGTATGCATTTTTTTCTTATAGAGAAATGAAAGAGTAAAAACCAGTACCGAAAATCGAATATCGATTAATACCATAAATCAGTGTCAAAAAATTGTCCAAGTGCAATGACAATTTGTTTTCATTTTTCAGGTACTTACGCCTCTAATCTTATTCAACAAAGTAACTCGGATAAACGAACGATTCGTATCAATTTTTCTTGTCTTATAAAAAAATGAGAAAATAAATCAGTACCGAAAATCGAAGACCGATCAATATTTAATTTATTCATCAAATTAACGCGGATAAATGAACGATTCGTATGAATTTTTTTTTTCTTATCGAGAAATGAAAGAGTAAATCAGTACCGAAAATCGAATATCGATTAATACTATAAATCAGTGTTAAAAAATTGTCCAAGTGCAATGACAATTTGTTCCTATTATTCAGGTACTTACCCCTCTAATCTTATTCAACAAATTAACTCGGATAAACGAACGATTCGTATCAAATTTTTTTGTTTTACAAAGAAATGAG